ATTTGGCAGTTGACGTATCACTGCCAAATAACTCGAGTTATTTTGGCAGCACAATCATAGTAAGCTATCGGATAATAACAATTATTATTGCGAAAAAAATTTATCAATTGGATATAGAAAATATTACGGATATTACGGTAGAAATGTTTCAATACCAAAATCCAAATTGATATATATTAGATGACTAATTTGATTATTTGAATGTAGAGTTTTTTTTTTTAATCATCTCTAACTAAACGCAAATTAATTAAAAACAAAAGAGAAAGAAAGACGAATTATCACTAATAAATCTTGATTCATACAAGATATATATATATTATGTATTATATGCTCATAACAATTAATGACGTTATATGCATATATATAAAAAAATTACTGATTATTAAAAAGAAATAAAATTTATCACACCATTTAATGAGGAATTTAACATCTAAGCTAGATATTTGTAAATTATCTTAATTAAAAACGTAATAATTAATGTGTCCTGCTAAAAATTTTATATAATTTTAAAATAATATCGTTTAACAAAACAATGGATCCAGTTACCAATGTTAAAAAAGGAATAGCTTCATATTTAACTGTGTTATAAAAGTATAAAATCTACAAAAATGTATTTTAATAGGTTAATAAAATTTTGGGAATTGCCATTTTTTTTTTAAAAAAAAAAGTTTAGATAACAAACCTGTATAACAAATTGAGGAATATTTTCTATAAATATATTAATCGTAGTTCCCCAAAATATTTGTTTTTTAGTAGTATCAGAAAATGGGGCGTTAAAAAGTCCAATTCCGGCAAAATTTGAATACAAACACTCTAATAATGCGACATCTGATACCGAAAGGATAGTAAATATCGGAATTATTTTCGTATATTTACTAAACCATTCAACAGATGATTTATTAGATTTCAATTCAGAAGTTATAAGTAAAATAGAAGCGATCAAATTGAATAATAAGGAAAAAATCAATATAAAAATGCTATAAATTTTTGATTAAAATATTTAGAATTAGTATTATTCATGGGCTATCAACGTAATGACGCAAAAATTTGGAGGCTTCGTGATTTCTGAGATTATGAACCAAGAAAAGGTGTCTGCTGCACATAGCTTTTATTAATCATATCTCATTGAAAAAGGTTGAATATTTAATTCGAATTTTAACAATCTTGATTACCTGATTTGTCTCGGAGATTTTAGGACCTCCAAATTTTTTTTGCGCCATTAATTAACCATTAAATAAAATTTAAAATTTATACGATACCAGGGTTTATACAACCAAGGAACATCACTCCCATTTTTTATGACAAATAAGATATCCATAATTAAATCCAACAAAATAAATGTTAAACCAAGTATCATGAAGTTATTTCCCTAAATAGGTATTTTATATTTAGATATTTAAACCTTAATTTCTTGGTTAAAAAAATGAATTACTGTACAAAATTAATAAATTTACCTTTGGATATCTACGACTTGCCCATAGAACAATAATACCTATAACAATAAATCCAATCAATATTCCGAGTAATTTGAATTTGATATCATCCCAGAAATTTGCTTAAAATTGATAAAATCAAATTAAAAGTGTTTTTTTTTGTTTAAAACAGTACGTATTACAGTATAAATTCCAAATAACTTACTATTCACTGTAACCCCATATGAAGAATCTAAATATTTTGTATGATTATTCATAGATATTATCGAAGTGTCTTTTTCTTTTATTAATGTATCCAAGTCTTTGATTATTTGATAAACAGGTGTTTGATAATTATTATTAGGTGCTAAAATTTCAATTTGCAACAAATATTGATAAGGTAATGTTGATGGATCATATTGCATTCGATTTGTTAAATGTAATCTATCAGAAGTTGTAGGAATACTTTCAACAAGTTCATATCGTAAGCTATTTAAAAATATAGATTTCTCTGAAGTTGATAGAGAGTTGTATAAAATAGTCCCATCACTAGTTAGACGTACAATAATTATAGCACTATCTTTAAAAATTATAAAATATTAGCATTACAATTATATTATCTTGCTGTAAATACTATACAATACTTTAATATTACCTGAATGCATTTCTGGATTTCTTTCTATATAAAAAAAACTTAATTGATTAATTATGTACATTAATTACAGATTTCGTACGTACGTACGTAATACGTATTGATATTAAAATCTTACGCACGTAAATCAGTATTAAAAGTCCATAGATTTTCTGCTATGCCATAAATAGGCTCATCTGTCAAGGAATATTTCACAAAGTTATTATCCACCACAATCGTATAAGAAGAATTCCATTGATTAAAGATGCTTCTTGAAATATTGCATGAAATTGTATTATTTAAAATTGTACATTTATCCGAATTTCCAGAATAAAATTTTCTTAATTTGATTTGTTTGGTAGCAGGGTCAGTTTGATAAATAGAGAGATTATTTAACGATTTACGAATTGAACTTGTCAAGGTTAGATTAATAGAAGTTGTATACGGCAAGATAGTATTATTAATTTCTGGATACACTGAAATAATATTTGGGTTTTCATAACCAACTAATAGATTTTGCGATTAATAATAATATTAGTAATATGAATATTCAAACATTTGGGCTTGGTGCTGAGAAAAGGGACGAAATTGACAAAAAAAAAGCTTTGCGGAAAATTGATTTTTATATTATAAATTCTATAATAAATTATAAGAAAATAAAACCCTTAAAAGATTATACTGCAAAATTTATTAACAGCATTTGTTCCTTAAGTGAAAATGTTTCTAGACTAATTTTAAATTAGTTAAGCTCAAAAAAATTTTTTTTTTAAAAATTGTCAATTTCGTCCCTTTTCTCAACACATAATACGAATAAATGCTACTTACAATCTCCTCTAAATTTTGGGAAATCGAATGCAAAAATACTCCAATTGCCAGGATTAGTCTGATTAAAAGGACTATACACTACGTACAATATATAAGTATTGTTTTTCATTAGATCAAACGTAGCACTTGAAAACGTAGGGATCAGATTTAAATCCCAATGTTGTTCATTGCCATCAGGTGGAATAATATATCCGGTCAAATTTCTAGGTACACAATCCATAGTATTATCTGTATTGGTATAACCGTCCACATATTTAGACAGATAACATTTATAAGTCCAGCTAGTTATAATAGATCCACCGTAAAATAAATGCATAATTTCAAAATTCATGTCTCCATCAGTAGTGTTCAGATATTGTTTGTATCGTGGTTGTAAATTCATTACGGAACCAGATGACAGGAAATCGATTTGGTATGTTATAATTGTCGAATAGTTTAGATTATTTTCAACTTTTGCGGTCATCATACATGTATTTCCATTCTCACTGTAACTTGGTGAACACGAATAGTATAATATGGCGCTAATCTTTCGCGCATGATAAAGTAAAAACTTTTCAGAAATTTTATGAGTTGTGGATGATAAAAACCTATAATATAAATAACTATTATCTACGAAATAATCTAAACCATCAAATATTGATTCTGTAGTAACGAAACCATAACCCTCATCAACGATCGGAAATACGGAAATGGATGAAGAACCTGAAATATTAAGAGAATTACTGGCTATGACACCAATATTGTCTTGTTGCCTAAAAATTTAGTAGAAAATTTAACATACAGTAATATATAAATAATTGTCATATACAGCAAATATGTGTCTTATTTACTTTAGATTATATAAAGTCCAGTTAACAATATTATCAATAGACTGGCTATAGATTAAAAAAGAAGACAATCGTGTATCTAAAATAAGATTTAGGCTTGGATTATCCTTCATGGTCCCATTCACTATATAAAAATTACTATTCAAATATAAATAAATATAAAGTATGGTTAAAATAATTTTTTTAAAGAAAACAGTAAATTAATACAAACTTCTTTATGATTTGTTTATTCCAGTCAATTATTATTCCGGTGACTTGCTCGTTACCATTGATATTAGCATCATAAAATAGAAGATAAAGTTTCATATTTAAAGGGTATATGCGACCAATACTTATGTTTTTAGAATTCTTTAAAACATCAAGATCGATATATATTGTTGTTCCGTTTGGTAATATAGTATGAATGCCTTTGTAACGATTTACGTCAGCATCATCGATAACCTTAATAACCAAACTACCATCATAACTTGAATTCACATGAAATTGATTATAAGGAAGATCATGATTTTTGCTTGAATGAATAACACGATATCCATAAGCTGTAAAATTACATAATAAAGAAATAAAACAGCACAGAAACAAAAGGTTTTTAGATGAATACATGTATTTGAGAACCATTTTAATTAGCAGTAAATATATATTTATTCATATGTAATAAAAAAAAAGTTGGTGGGATTTATTGAAGAATATGATAATAATCTATCCTAACTCTAACACGAAAAAAAAGAAAGTATTCAAGAATCTATCCTAACTCTAACACTACAAAAAAAGAAAGTACTCAATAATCTATCCTAACTTTAACATGAAAAAAAATATCATTAACACACTCTCTGATCTTACCCACCAAAACGGATCTTATAAAGAATAAATTCATATGTTTTGTTAACTATAAAAGATAAAACAATTGAAATTATCGTTGTATACAAATACAAAGTAACGGTAATATCAGTAAACTTACATGTGGATTTCTAAATTTGGCGTCCGGAAAATATGTACGTACGTACGAACTATGTTGGTGTGGCATAGTAGCAAAACAAAACACGGAACACATAGAAGATTATATAGTAAAGTAGTACGGTACGGCAACGCAAATTAGGACGGACGTGTAGAAATCAAGATAGTACGTACGGTTTGTAAAAGAAAAGAGTCGTCAAATCCAAATTACACTTCTCCAACATGAAAAAGGACCTTATCCATTAAAAATGGTTACTTATAAAAATTAAAATTTTCAAGTCTATATTAACCGTACGTACGATCGAAATTTAGTATAAATACAGTACTATTTTATTGAATACCTCACATGGAAGCAGATATAGATTAATTCATTATAGGTTTAATAATTCATCCACTTTTTATTAATAAAAACTTTAAATTATAATAACTTGTTTTAAAAATAAGCTAAATCAAAACCCTCTGATAGATTACATTTTTGTTTTAAAGAAGTTATTAAGAGCTAAAGTTTATAATAATTTAAAAATTGACATTTAATATTAGAAAATGAAAAGATATATGTATAAATCGATTTTCTACTAAGTAAACCTCTCTTCTACTTCTAATAAGAGTTGTAGAGGAAAGAAATCCAATTATACTGGTTATTAAAACGTTAAAAATCGACCCAGAGGATCGCGAGATATGAACACCTTTGTCTTCGCGACTATATGTTTACTTCTTTGTTTACTACATATAGTTGTGAAGGAAAAAAATACTCATATCTCGCGATCCACTGGACTGATTTTTTAACGTTTTAATAGCCAGTATAATTGGAATTCTCTCCTCTACAACTCTTATTAGAAGTAGAAGAGAAGTTTACTTAGTAGAAAATCGATTTATCCTTTGGGAATCACCAGATTCCAAAAAAAGTAAAAAAACAATAGCAAATTTTCTCATCGTTTACTATATTTTTATTGGTTCCCAGTAGGCTGGGAGGCACAGCAAAAATTTTGGGCATGCCCCTAGGGGCATGCCTGGAGTAAAGGCATGCCCCCTTTATACTCTTTTTATCGAAAAATATAATTTAGCCCAAAAAAAATTAATATCATAACCTTCTGATAACCTTGCTTGTCTTATGTTTTCTGAAAATCTATAGAGTATAGACAGTATAAAAAACCTAACA